GTGTGCTCTTCCGATCTCCCCAAAACCCCAAAACCCCATTATACTAAAAATAGTTAGAAGAGTGGGGTAAGAAAACATATTAAATATATCGCTAATTAACATTGGATTAAAACTATTTATATTAAGAATTGAAGCTATATGAATTGGATTTCTAACTTTATTTTTTTATTGATAGTTAAAGAATTGAAAGAGAGCATGTTAAATATAGGTTTAAAAATTAAATCATATCACTTTATAGGGCTGTGAATTTGATTATTCTGTATGAGCTAGCCAACTTGCTTAGCTCATTATGTTGTTGGCTTTGTGGAAATAGATGAATCATCTTGGGATGTAACGAAGGTAATAGTGATCTGGGTATCAATTTTGAGATCTGGGCCAGTTTGTAATGCAGTATAAACCATTTTACCAACGGCATTACCAACAGCATCGCAGGTTTAAGTTGATGCAGACTTCAAGGTCTAGAAGCTCTAGTAGAAAGTTCCCTTTTTAATGAAATCATAGGCAATTGTTGTAACCAAATCAAGGGCTCCTGGAAAAGTTGCAGATCTGGTACTTAAGGCCTTGGTTAATTTACTAGATTGGCAAGCAGTATCGACATCACTCTGTTGAACAACGAGATTAATGAGTTGTGTAATCAAGTTGTTGTAACTGCTTGACTCTAGCCATTTGAAATTCTTAGCTTGGGTAACTAACTCCTCTACAAAATTGCCAACCTTTCCGAATTAATCTTCACATGCTGAAACTTCTGCTGAATCTTTTTCTGTGTTTCTAAGACCCTTGGCATATCCCGATCCAAGGAGAGTAATGTCATCTCCAACACAGAAATTGTTAGTGCCTAGAGCTGTACCGAATGCAACCTAAAATCAAAGATTATTGACTTAGAAACAATAATTACTGAGGAAATTGATGCTAATGTGACAAGCACGAGGGCTGTGTTAACCTTCATTTTTAGTAGGATCTATTAAATTAATTATAATCTCTTTCATTTATTGCTACATATTCCAATCTATTCTGATACCTGGGGTTTTGGGGTTTTGGGGTTTTGGGG